CAGAGGGTAGCATCAGCAGAAGCACATTCAGAATAACATTCCCATGGCAAGCCAGGAGGCAGAGACAGGGGTTAGGTCTAACTCAGGCTTCTATGACCAACCCTCTCATGAAAAACCTCTCATGAAAAATACTTTCCAAGGGCACACTCCTTAGTGACTTACATACCTCCCACTAAGCCTACTTAAACACTATAACTAGATTAAGCTTGAATTCTCAATACCATTAACTTATCATTTAAGGGTTAAGGTATCTGCATGAGTTAGTAAACCAAATCATGTTCACATTATGGCACAAATAGATTTCAAAATAAAAACAAGATAAAGGAGGAAACCTGGTAAGTTAAAATCCACATTCCAGTTTTAAATAGAACAAGGGGCATAAATACCGTATCTTAAAGTTGTTATTAGGAGTAATATCACCAAAATGGTGGAGTAGGGAACTCCAAAACTCTATCCCTCCACAGAAGTAACAAACTGCTAAGGTAGCAAAAACTGTCAGAACCAACTTTTTCATAAATCTGGAATCTAATAAAAAAAATTTACAACCAGAAGAAAACATGAAGAAGAAAGAAGCTGCAGAATTTCCAGAAATCAGCACTTTTAACTTACCCAGCTACCTATCATTCCAACTCCCCAGCTCAGTGTTAACCATATAACAACCCACGTTCCTGGGACAGGGACCCTATATCAATCTATGTCATATCTATGTCACATATATACATGACTATATATATATATATATATAGCCTAATATCAAAGGTTGCGGTTGTGTGTTTTGATCTGTCTGCTGCATCCCTGAGGAACTAATTCTAGGGCTTGCTTTTGTTTCATCTGCCTTAGGGTTTACCCAGAGCACAAAAAGATTCCCAGAATCTGGTTTGTTTTGTTCGTTTGTTTGTTTGTTTGTTTGTTTTTTTGACAAGCAGAGTGGACAGTGAGAGAGAGAGACAGAGAGAAAGGTCTTCCTTTGCCATTGGTTCACCCTCCAATGGCTGCCGCGACCGGCGCACTGTGGCCGGCGCACCGCACCGATCCGATGGCAGGAGCCAGGTACTTATCCTGGTCTCCCATGGGGTGCAGGGCCCAAGCACTTGGGCCATCCTCCACTGCACTCCCTGGCCACAGCAGAGAGCTGGCCTGGAAGAGGGGCAACCGGGACAGAATCCGGCGCCCCGACCGGGACTAGAACCCAGTGTGCCGGCGCCGCAAGGCGGAGGATTAGCCTAGTGAGCCGTGGCGCCGGCCACCCAGGCAGTTTTTGTCAAAAGTATTTAAAAACAGATATATTAGTCATATCCACAAGGGGAAAGAGATAACAGTGATACAACTGGCAGACAGCAAAAATGAGGTATTTGACAGAAAAAGGATTTTTTAAATTCCATTTATACCAGGAACTCTACTGGGCCACCTGTATGCTCAGAGCCAGCTGCAAGCTCTGCAAGTACCTGAGAAGACCTTAAGCTTTCACATCTGACTGACCTCGGGGCTCCAAGCAAAAGGAGGTAAGGCTCTGGCAGAGCTGTTGATGACGAAGGACCTAATGAAGTGTTGAAGTAGTGCTCCGACACACAGCCAGTCTTTAAAAGCAGAGATAATTTGAGCTTTGTATTAGTTGGTTGCTTTTTGGGTTTGTTTGTTAGATTTTTGGATCCAAATTTATGGAAATCTCTGTCAATTACTAGCTAATTACTAAGCTGAAAGAAGAGACACGTCATTGGCCACATATTGCAAAGAATACAGAATTACAAAAAGTATTAAAAAGTCATTAAAATAAACAACCCACAACAACAAACAATTGAGAGGGAAGAGAATTTGATTTCCAGAGTTGCCAGGTTATAATATTAAAATCACCCAGTCTTTACCAAAAAAATGAAAAGGCACACAAAGATTAACAAAGTATTATTCACTTACAAGAACAAAAGAAATGAATAGAAATTGTCCCTGAGGAAGCTTAGACATTGGCCTTCCTAAACAAAGAATTAAAACCACTGTCCTTCCGAGTCCCACCACTGTAAGCACGTTCTCAGCTAACACCATGATGATGCGATTGGTGTCCCCATCGAGTAATAAGCCTGAGACCAGCCTGGCATGGCAGGCCTGGCCTAACCATGGGACGCTGGCCCTTGACACTTGAGCCATCTGCAAGCAGTGTGGGCAGGGAGCCCAGCACTCTGGCCTCCTGGTCAGGTGGCCCCATCTCCTCAGGCCCTTACCCAGGCCTCTGTTGGGAACCACGTCAACATAAATCTACTTTCCAGAACCCCAAAGCGGGAGCTGCAGAAACTGTTCAGCAGCAGACACCTAAAGTAAACTTGAAGCAAGAGCCAGTGGCTGGTGAGGCTGTCAGCTGCGGGTAGTGATAAAGGTAGTGAGGAGATGCCACAGGTGGGCTTCCTGGGAACCCTGGGGAAGAGGCCCTGCAGGCTGGCTGGGCAGATCACGTGGTGGGGGCACCTAGGAAGAAGAAAAGTTCCCAGGCTGCCAACCGGAACAGAGGCCTGGGTGTTGGTTCGATCCGTCCCCCTTGGGTTTCACAACTTCGGGGTCGCTACCTCTGCTCACCGCAGCTGAGGCTGCTGCTGCTTGGGCACGTTTGGGGCCCCGAGCCTGACCTCTGGAACTGACCATCACTCACCTATAGTTTCTGCCAGTAAATCTGATTCTGGAATGATTAAAGGCCGCTTTGTCATCAAAAATAAATAAATAAATAAAACCACTGTCCTTTAGTTTAAGGAAATCACAGACAGAAACCTAACACAAACAAGGAAAATGATATACTAACACTACAGAAAAAATGAAGACTTGGGAATTATTATAAGGAACTAAGTGGAAATTAAGGAGCTGACAAGTATAATGATTGAAATGAAAATTCACTAAAAATGTACTAGGTTTAACAGCAAATTTGAGCAAGCAGAAGTACAATCAGTAAACTGGAAGGCAGGCCAATTGAGATTCCACAGCTTGGGAGGAAAAAAAAAAAACAAAGAAAATAAATGAACAGAACCTAAGATACCTGTCAGACACTACTAAGCACACCCACTATACAAAATGGAGAGAAGAGGAGAAAACTGGCAGAAAGAATTTTTAAAGAAAAAATAGCCAAGAATATCCAAATTTTGAAGGAAAAAATTAATCTACACATCTAAGACTCACAATCAATTCCAAGTAGGATAAACTCAAAGAGATCCAGAACAACAGACATTATAATCAAATTGTCAACAAAAGACAAAGACGGATAATCTTGGGGTGGGTGTTTGATAGAGCAGTTAAGACCTTTCCGATGCCTTCAACCCGTATCAGACTGCTGGGTTTGAATTCTAGCTCCCCTTCCAACACCAGTTTCCTATTAATGTGCACCCTGGGCGGCAGCAGGTGACAGCCCGTGTACTTAGGTCACTCAAGTGGGAGATCCGAATTGAGTTCTGGGCTCCTGGCTTCCAGCTCACCTAGCCCCAGCTATTGTGGGCATTCATAGAGTGAACTAGTTGATGGAAGCTCTCTCTCTGCCTATTTGTTTCTTTATTTGTCTGAAAGTCTCTCTGCCTTTTAAATAATAAAATTTATTTTTTAAATGAGTCTTTAAAATAAGATAATCTTTAATGCAATAAGAAAATGGCCTGTCATGAACAGAGGTTCAATAATATTAACAGTTGATTACTCATGAAAAACCATGGCGGCCTTACCACAAGACAGTGAATGTGAGATATGAGATACTCAAACTGCTATAAGAGGGAGTGTCAGCTAAGAATTCCACATCCAGAAAAATTAACGTTCAGAATAAGTTCTGGAGACTGGCTAACAACAATGTGAATATATTTAACTTTATGGATCTATATGCCTAAAAATGGTTAAGATAGTTCATTTTATGCCACAATTGAAAATAATTTTTAGGCTAGTCCTCCACCTAGCGGCACCGGCACACCGGGTTCTAGTCCCGGTCGGGGCGCCGGATTCTGTCCCGGTTGCCCCTCTTCCAGGCCAGCTCTCTGCTGTGGCCCTGGAAGGCAGTGGAGGATGGCCCAAGTGCTTGGGCCCTGCACCCGCATGGGAGATCAGGAGAGGCACCTGGCTCCTGCCTTTGGATCAGCGTGGTGCGCCGGCCACAGCGCACCGGCTGTGGTGGCCATTGGAGGGTGAACCAATGGCAAAAGGAAGACCTTTCTCTCTGTCCCTCTCTCTCACTATCCACTCTGCCTGTCAAAAAAAAAAAAAAAAAGAAAGAAAATAATTTTTAAAGTGAAATTAAGACACCCCAAATAATCAAACCCTAAGATATCTGTCATTGAAAGACCTGTCTCACATGAAATACTATAGACAGTCCTTCAGGCTAAAACTAAAGGAACTCAAAGACGTACCAAGAAATAAAGAACACTGGTAAAGGTAGCTTACATGTATAAATATAAAAGTCAGTAATATTTTAACTCCTCTTTTTTCTCCCATATGTTTTAAAAGCCATATTCCATATGTAGATATAGCCTATAAATATATTTAGGAAAAAAATTGGTAAAATGAAATATGAAATTAAAAAACCGAGATTAAATGACCATGGTTGTACAACTACACAAATCTCTCTCAGTTGTATTCTAAATCAGGTATCTCTGATTTGTGGGTAACATGGAAATAATCCAGAATTGAGTTCAGCTCCATGTCTAGTAAGAAGCAGAATCTAGTAAGAAATATTGCTGAGCAGAAAGTCCATACACCTGAGTGGCTACACCATCAACCTCACTAAGAATGCAGAGTGACTTACTATCTTCTCTGAAGTCTTCACTTGTGGTTTGTGATATGAAAAGAATATGACAGTATTATAAGAATTTTTATGAAGAAAAAATAGTTCACACAAAATCCTTTAGTAGGCAAACACAAAGTATTATCATTATTATGACTAAGGTAGCAAAAACTGTCAGAACCAACTTTTTCATAAATCTGGAATCTAATAAAAAAATTTACAACCAGAAGAAAACATGAAGAAGAAAGAAGCTGCAGAAGCAGTTAGTTACCTGATGATGTTGGATATTTCTTATGTTGCACGAAAAATTCTGGTACAGCTGAAATTTATCGACATCTTTCTCATTTACCTTTTTTGAGGAAACTTTAGCCAGTGATGACTGTATACAAATGTATCTATTCTGGCACCTATTCAGACACACAAAAGTTGAAAATAAAAAAGCAGCAGTTATCAATCTGTGCTTTAGAAATATACTTAATGGAAGTAAGGGTAGCAAAAAGGTAAATCGGTTAGCAAATGAGGCATTTTAAGGATGCTCAACTAAGAAAATGATGTTATTAACCCATCAAAAGAGGAATCTGAAGTAAGTTTTCAGTGTTGCCTCTAAGACACCTGCAGCTACGACAGCAACATACCTGGGTTCAGTTCCTAGTTCTGACTCCTGACTCCAGCTTCTTGTTAATAACCTTGCGAGGCAGCAGTGATGGCTCAGGTAACTGGGTTACTGCCACCCACGTAGGACATCTGGATTGAGTCCCCAATTCCTGGCTTCAGGCAGGCAGGCAGAGTTCTCTCCCTCTGTCTGCCTCATTCTACCTTTCTATTTGCCTCTCAAATAAATACATTAATTAATTTTTGAAAAAGGAGAACTCTGCCTACTCATGCTAACACAGGTCCTACAAATTTATATTATCAACCCAATCCCCCCATAAAATGTCTAAATGAATTCAGATTCTATCTGTAGGTAGGCAAGAGCCTCTGGTCTAAATGTTATCCTTTCCTAATCCCTGAGTTAGGCAGTCACAGTCAATTAAAAACTAAAAAGGAGAGAAACAAAAGGATGTGTCAGGATAGCTTCCCCAATAACAATTTATAAAATAGAACCAAATTGTAATAGTATAATTAGCTATAAAAATACATTTTAAGCGTAAACAATTCTCCTACTTCAACTCATTCCTGTTGGGGCACTGAGAAAACAGAAAAGTTCTTGCCCCTTATTAACAAAATCCCTGGCAAGCAACAGTAGTCAGTTAGTCTGTCTCTCCCTTTTACATTCCTTTGCACAGCTCACTCAGCTAGGGATGTGGAGAGAGAGAGAGAGAGAGAGGGAGAAGAAGAGCAGGACCCTTAAAAAAGCTTGTCTTCTGATACACAGCAGAAAAGACAACGTAACTCAACAGAAGGGAGTTTTACATTACTGTCATTTTTTTTAAAAGAAGTATGAAAGCCATGTGCCCAAACAGTTCTAGGTGACAAATCTTGTAACTTTATAACTGAGACTGGACTACACAGATGAGCTGCTCTCCCCAACAGCTAACATCTCTTTTGAGGTCAGCACACTGACCCATCCCTGATACCGTACATTATCAAGTCAACCCAATTACTGGCCAACACCAGAAATGAGAATTACAAAATTAAGCGCATACCTCACAATCAACATGTTTAAGATGCAATGCCACTCACACTAAAGAATCATGAATCTCTGTGTGGTGTATGTTATGCAATGCAGTGGCTTTTAAACTGTAGTCATCAGAACCCTTAGCTGAGTTGTGTCAGTGTAAGGAGGATGAGTAGGCAGAGTTCCAGGCTCCCTGCCCAGCATTCATTTAAAAGAACTTCACTTTTATCTGTTTTATATATTAGAGTTCTGCTGTTTGAACAAAGACTGCTACTTTAAAAAGAGTCTGAAAACAAAGTTTTTAATGAATGCTGTTGTTAGCACTAATCATGTAACCCTTAACAGCACCGGTCCACAAAGCAGAAAACTCTATGGAAGAGTTACTCACAATTTCCGAATGAAGTCAAGCGTGTCTTTGTCTTTAGCAATCATGTCTGCTAAAATATGTTGTACTCCTGTTTCAATATCCTGCAGCGCTGAAAGCCCTTCAGAAGGGTAAAAGAAAGAACAAAAACAAAAAGTGTTAAGATTAAAGTCTATAATTGAAAGACACTAAATTAATTCCAGTCAAAATAAAATCTTAAGTGGATAAACCTAAGACAGAAAAATACTGCAGCAGTGACTAGCTTGTAACAAAAAGCAAGTTTCCAAAAGCAATATAGGCCCTTTACATGTTATATTGCCTAGTGGTAAAAATGCAGCTCTGGAACCAGCCACCTGGCTGGATCCTGGTTCTCTCATTTATATTATTACATATAATTTTGGGATCCTGGGCAAGTTTTCTGACTTCTCTGTACCTCAATTTCCTATTAAAATGTGATAATAATACTACCTCCTTCATTAAGTGGCTGCAAAAACCAAACTTGTTATAGGAAATAGGCACAATAGAATCATCTTCCAAAGTATACTATTTCACCTATTACAAAAACTTTTCTTTACAAGAAATTTTATTATACTCTTATTTTGGTTTGTGAGGCACTTATTCACATTTTCAATAACTATTTGAATTTCTCAAATCTCATACGCACAAAAGAGATCATGCATTTGTTCCTCTTCACAGTTATATTTTCTACAAATGGTGCATTAAGTTCTAAGTGAGTGCTTTATAGTATGAGTCTTGAACATCATGCCCCTGTGACATACCAACTTAAACACTGGTAGACATTATTTGCTTTCTTTCATTCCTTTAGTCTTTTTGCTTGAGAGCTCTTTATTTTTTCAGTAAAGCTTGAATTACTTAAGCACTTTGTATGCTTTTCTGTGAGTATACTTTTAACAGGTAATAGACACAAAAGCCAAAGAGAACAGGAAAACAAAGTTATTATGGCATAATTAATAAAGAAGAAATGCCTTGTGTGGTTGTGTTAACATTAACTACTGAAGTAAATGCATTTATTTTTTATAATTCAAAGAAAGAATTTTGGCCAAATTAACAGGAATTATATTTACATTTTAAGAAAATTAACAAATCACCTGAAGACTGCTCATATAAAGAATTTTAGAATGGTTGTGGCACATAGTAAGCCTGCAATAAACATTCATGTGTTAGTTATCTGCCTGGATAAGTTTTCATCTAAGAGAGGTCTATACTATAGGCTAAGTCCTGGAGCCCCAAAGCACCTCAGAGCAACACTACACAACGGTCAATGACAAGGGAGACACCAGGGAAGATTAAACCTACAATGAGAGCCATCAACGGAAGTGGATAACAGAAAGAAGAAATTACAGCCTTTGCTATAACCAAGGGTCTTTGAAAATCTCCCATTGTATAGGGGAATACAACTTAAAACCTAATATAATTGATATAATCTTATGTAACTAAAAGTTTGCTAGAGTTCCAGAGAAATGTTTTATAGTTTCTGAGGATCCAAAAATAAAATTATACTAGGTACTTATTAAACATAAATTCCTAGACTGTGGGCTTCTGATACTCATTAAATTTTAAAACACCACTCCTCGGAAGGGTCTTTGAGCTACCTTTAAAGCAGTGGTGCTCAGTGGGAGGCAAACACGATCAGTCATTTGAGAAGTTCTTTCAAATCACACACTCCCTCTTTAAGTCCAACCAGGGTGGAAAACAGGTTGGAAAGAAAGTCTTGTGTGTTCTGAAAAACCTCCTTCCCCCATCAAAGAGACCTGCTCTTTGAGGCTTAACACAGCCAAGGATAACAGGAGCTCCAAAAGTTTAGCACCTCAAGGAAATCCAGAGGAAACAAGGTACCCAGAACCAGAAAATCACACCCTCTGCCTTATAACAAAATCTTCCTAGGCGTGGACTCGCCAAACCTCCAGACCTGTAACAAAAGTTGAAAGGCCAACATTTCTTTTCACTTTATCTGCACTTGGACTACCTCTTCTTACACAGAATAGGAAAACCAGCTACTCCTCCTTGAATGCAACACGGGAATATTCAGGATCTCCTAGAACATGTCCATCTGTGGCACAGTGTAGATTTCTGATTCAGACCAAATTCTGGGTAATCTGTGGCAATGAGGAAGTGTCTTCCATTGAGGGGAAAAAAATCAAAATATCTCATTTCTTAAATACTTCTTTGAGGAATGAAGAAAATACTTCTTCAGAAAAACAGTAATAGAATTGAAGGTGATCATGATGGGAAACATTCTAAACTAACTTTAGAAAGCTGTACCTTGTTTAGAGGAATAATTAATTCTCCTTCATTTGTGATCGTGGTAAAAGAAAGAAGGAGTAAAGGAAATAAAGTCCTGATGTATCTGCTAATACTACTGTAACTGTGCTAGGCCCTGAGCTATCCACATGAGCAGAAGTATCACCAAGTGCTGTCATCATATACTCCAGGAGCATCACCACAGATGATAACCAAAAGAGATGGTTATGAACAACCTACTCAGTAAGAACTCGGTTTTGTGTGAGAACTAAGGAGATCTTTGTACCAAAAAGGCTCTGAAGTAGAAGGAAAGGAAATCAACATTACGAGAAAAGCAAGAATAAAAACAGCCAATAAACCTGTGTGCATATAACATTTTGCAAGCTCCAACGTTCCATTCTAGTGAATCATGCCATGACTGCGCACAGCTCGTTCCCACTAGCGTTAACCTTAATACTTGGCTATACAGTCTCAGCTATTATTAAAATATGAAATGCTGCAACCATTGAAAATCCAACTGCTAATACATGTTAAAAATTAAAGTAGAATTTTACTCATTTTGATCCATCTCTATATTCAAATAATCCTATTGTGCTGCTTCATTATCATCCCTTACCAAACATATTAAAATGTGTTTGTGTATGAATAGAAGTATTTTACAGATACAGACTCAATATTTTAATCATAAATTCACATTTGGTAGATTATTTAAAACAAAAACAAGTATGGTATACAATCTCTATGGTTTCGTACATAGTGTGGATTTTGTTATCAGAGACTGCCCCCTACAGACAGCTATACCCCAGACTAAAGAATCAACAAAAGGCCAAAAGAAACCAGAATTAAGGTAGGGGATACAGGAAGAGATGTAGGTCACAGGGTATAAACTTGCAGGTATATAACCTGAATTAATTCTGGAGATACAATGTATACCATGAGGATTACAGTCAATAATATTGTATGGTATACTGGAAATTCACAAAGAGTAGATTTTAGATGCTCTTAACCACAAAAAAATAATCAAGTATGTGAGATGATGAGCCACATTAATTTTTTTAAAAAATTTATTTACTTATTTGAAAGGCAGAGAGAGAGAGAGGTCTTCCATCTGCTGGTTCACTCCCCAAATGACCACAATGGCCAGAACTGAGCAGATTCGAAGCCTGGAGCCAGGAGCTTCATCCGGGTCTCCTATGTAGGTGCAGGGGCCCAAGGACTTGGGCCATCTTCTACTGCTTTCTCAGACCATTGCAGAGAGCTGGATTGGAAGAGGAGCAGCCAGGACTCAAACCGGCACCCATATGGGATGCCGGCAACGCAGGCAGAGGCTTTACCCACTATGCCACAGTGCCGGCCCTGGGCCACATTAATTTGCCTCATAAGCACATAGAGTATTCCTTGACTGTAGTTATCATTTCACTATGTAAATGATTGTCAAAGCACCATGCTGTCTACCCTTAAATAAACACCAATTTTTAAAATAAAAAAATAAATTTTTTAAAATTTTTTTGACAGGCAGAGTAGACAGTGAGAGAGAGAGACAGAGAGAAAGGTCTTCCTTTTGCCATTGGTTCACCCTTCAATGGCCACTGCGGACAGCGCACTGCGCTGATCCGAAGCCAGGAGCCAGGTGCTTCTCCTGGTCTCCCATGGGGTGTAGGGCCCAAGCACTTGGGCCATCCTCCACTGCACTCCCGGGCCACAGCAGAGAGCTGGACTGGAAGAGGAGAAACCGGGACAGAATCTGGAGCCCCGACTGGGACTAGAACCCGGTGTGCTGGCGCCGCACGCAGAGGATTAGCCTATTGAGCGGTGGCGCCAGGCCAAAAAAAAATAAATTTTTTAAAGAGAAGCGATCACCAGAGCATCCATCTTCCCAGTCAGTTCTAACAGAAAACTCCTGAAAAAAGCTCCTGCTACCCAGAAAGGTCTCACTCTAAGGCTGATTTAGACAATGAAACCAATGCATCTTGATATGAATTGTCATTGTCCTTGGGTTTTTCTTAGCGGTATCTCTTCCTTACTCTTTCCTTCTCCCATGCTCTCTCATGCAGGTGCACACACATAAAAGAATAGGAAGACACACATAAAGTAAATTTTAAGAACAAGGCATTTATTGCTAGGGAGTGGAAGGGTAGGAGTGGGGCCACACTTTATACTTCATGCCTGTCAGAACCATTGAAATGCTTTTTTAAGGAGGAACTGTGACTTATATCATGAAAGAAATTTTTAGAAATAGAATAAAAACTTTAAAAGATAATGTAGAAAAAACTTTGTAACTTTGAGATATGAGGGGATTTTTTTACGGAAAAAAAAGCAACTTAAAAAGATTTAAAAATTATAAAACTAGAACCTATTTATCAGGAGATAGCATAAGTAAAGTGAAAAGACAAGTTATGAACTGACAGTACCTATCTGCCACACATACAAGTGAAAAATATCTGAACAATACTTAAAAGTTAATGAGAAAAAGAGAAACAACAAAACACATAAATGGGCAAAAGACCTAACAGGTACTTCATCAAAAGGGGAAAGCTAAGGAATAGGTATGCCAGGATTTGTGTTATCACAATTACTTGTTCTTTAAATGCTATAATATTCTTTTGTGTAGTCACTACTTACTTTTTTAAACAGAAGCTTTTGAATTGAAAGAAAAAAAAAAGAAAGAAACAGGGCTGGTCTCTTGAATTAAAGCCGGTACCTTTAACGTCGGGTCGAATGTAGGAGAGAAGATTGAGCTCCCCTGGACGCTCAAGCAGTGTCCTGGCTGCTCCTTCCAATCCCAGCTGTTTTGCTCTCTGAGCTTTGGTGCCCTTACTCCCAGTTTTATATGGGGCAGACTAGAGAAATAAGGGCAGAAAACATATCGCATAATCTAGTTTTAAAAAGTAAAAGTTAAAAATAATACACAAAACTGGAGAACATTCTGAGAATTCTAAAGAATCCTTTTCTCCCTTCCCCCTTCCATGGCAATGAATTAATACTAAATAAATTAATACTTGTAGTACAAACAGGGCCTGTACCTTATCTCAGTTTTATTCTTTTCTACATGCTTAGTTATTTTTTGGTTTCATGCAAATTAAAAGCTCACTGCCCGGATTACAGGGTCCTCTTCTCAACACAAGCAGGATCCTAAACTCTGTCTTCATGCAGTGTTTCTGCTTTGTAATCCATACTCACTCCTCACCTGCCACCATCAGGCTTGTTAAATGTGGTGTCCAAGAGGATCCTCTAATTACATACAGCTATTGATACTCACCTCCTTCGAAAGCCCTCTTCCTGACTGCTCCACGCTACAATTATCTCCTGATTCTTCTTACACTTCTCTGTCCATTTTTTCCAGGTCTAGGCTCCCCCTTCCTCCACCCACTTTTCAAAAGCTGCTATTGCTGATTGGCTTCTCCCATGAGCTCCTCTTGAGCAGGTACTTCCAGTCTCAAGCTTTCAAATGCAAGACAGGCCAAAGATGCTCACATCTGGGTCTCATTCTGCTTTCCCCTTCTGTGTAACCTACTTCCTTCCTCACGCAGCTGGGAATTCCTCAAGGATATGGACTCTGTATTACCTTTAAAACCCCAAGGGCCTACCATGAAAAAAGTACTCAATAATTATTTACTCAATAAATAAATAAATAATAAAGGCCTGGCGCTGTAGCATAGTGGGTAAAGCCACCATCTTCAGTGCCAGCATCCCATATGGGCATCAGTTCAAGTCCTAGCTGCTCTATTTCTGAACCAGCTCCCTGTTAATGCACCTGGGAAAGCAGAGAAAGATGGTCCAAGTGCTTGGGCCCCTGCACCCACATGGGAGACCTGAAAGAAGCTCCTGGCTCTTGTCATTGGATCAGCCCAGTTCTGGCCATTGTGGCCATTTAGGGAGTGAACCAGCAGCTGGAAGACTTCTCTCTCTGCCTCTGCCTCTCTGTAACTCTGTCTTTCAAACAAATAAATAAAGCTTTAAAAAAAAAAAAGAATATTCTGTGGAATTAAATAATAGTAGCTAATGACTAGCTTTTTTTATGTCTTTTCTTTTTTTAAGATTTTATTTATTTATTTATTTGACAGGGAGTGTTACAGACAGTGAGAGGGAGAGATAGAAAGGTCTTCCCTCCGTTGGTTCACTCCCCAGATGGCCGCAACAGCTGAAGCTGCACTGATCTGAAGCCAGAAGTGAGGTGCTTCTTCTCGGTCTCCCATGCAGGTGGGGGGCCCAAGGACTTGGGCCATCCTCTACTGCTTTCCCAGGCCATAGTAGAGAGCTAGACTGAAAGTGGAGCAGCTGGCTAGAACCAGTGCCCATATGGGATGCCGGCGTCGAAAGCGGAGGATTAACCTACTGTGCCACAGAGCCAGCCTCAGCTTTTTTATTTCTTAGTCTTCTTTAAAGATCCAAATCATAACAGTTTCAGGGATTACATTAAAAGACAAAGCAAGTTCCTTACCACGTGTTCTAGCTCTTCAAAAGTTTTACAGTTCAGCAAGGCTTTTAACAAGCATTCAGACATCTTCCCCTCTTTCTTAATTTTCTGGATTGTACTATGAACCTTCTTTGCAACGGCCCTGAAATTAAACACTGTTGTAATATACAAGATCTACATGTCAAAACTGTCATTTTGAGGCCATCTCAAACTTACAGAAAAGTTGTAGGTAAAGTACAAATAACTTTTTTGTCCTTTCATTCATATGAGAAGAATGATCTCCAGATACTTTAGTTGTGCATCTCCAATAGCCAGACTATAACCACTAAAATCAGGTAAATAACACTTACGTAACACTATCGTCTTATCCTCAGATCTCAGATCTCATTCAAGTTTCATCAGTAGTCACATTAATGTTCCTTTTAGTGGATTCAGTTCAGAATCACAGGTTGCACGTGGTTGCCATGTGTCTATTGTTTCTAGCTCAAACAGTATTGCAGCCTCTCCTGATTTTCAAGGCCTGGATTCTTTTGAATGCTATGGCCAGTTAGTTTGTAGAATGTCTCACAGTTTCTGTTCCTGTGATGTTTCTTCAAAACTAAATTCAGATGGTACATCTTGGGCAAGACTATCATAGGAGTGATGCTGTGTTCTTCTCACTATAGCTTACTTGTTTATAAATGATTTTCACTTGGTCCATTACTAATTAACTTTGGTCATTTAATTAAAGTAGCATCTGTGGGTTTCTCCACAATACTGATACTCTTTATAATTAATACGTATTCCCTTTGTAATTAACAAGTATTTTGGGTAGATGTACTTTTAGACTATGTCATTATCTCATTCCTCATTAAACTTTCAATTTATTCACTGATATACTTGTATCACTATAGAGTTATGGCTTCTTATTTTATTTAGTGGTTAAAATTCATTGCTATTACTTATTTTAATGCCCAAAATATTCCAGATTTGTCCAAACCCTTCCAACTACTTTCTATGTAGTTCTGACACATCCTGATCACTGTTTGAGCACTTTCTTATCCTCAAGGATATGGACTCTGTATTACCTTTAAAACCCCAAGGGATCATCTTTTACTTTCCCTTCCACAGCCCTGAAATCAGGAAATGGTACTCAGAAACCAAGTTATAGGTACTGGTTATTGCTCACTGCTATTATAGTATCACTGTTCAAGGTGGGTACACCCAGCACCCATGATTGGTTTCCAGATACTGTTCTCCAATACAAAGAACCAGGATTCCATGTAGGAACATAAACTCTAGGATAATCAATACACAGGGATCAATATAGAAGACAGGACAAGGGGAAGCACAAGCGTGGCAGTTGCCACACTTTCCACTTTCCACTGTGAATATACAATATTACTGATGTATTTAATGCAGCTGTTACTATGTACAGAATCTGCCTAAATATGCCATTTGCTAAATTGATTGGCAAAAGTCATATATGATAACGTGAATTACTAAAAAGGACTGATGAAAAAGAAAATTAAATATCTACATTTTTTTAAAAAAAAAAAAAGGCAGATGATTTTCAATTAAAAGGAGGAATAGATAGTCCTTAGATCACACCTATATGTTGCTGATAGTCCTAGCAGTCCAAGACTGTTTTCAAGGGCTAAAGTCTACTGTGGTCATTTTCACAAAAGACCAAGCTCCTGTTGGCCTGCATATAAGAAAGGAGAGAGGATCCTTTAGAGAAAAATGCAGGAAGCTTTCCTTATTAACCAGAATCATCCTCTTTAATTCACTTTTTAACAGTGACCCATAGGAAGAAATATATTTCACCTCGCATCCCATTAAACACATACATATAGAGGCTATATCTTATTACCAAAAAGAAATATCTACTAAGGAAAAGATCTTCTAAGCCCCAGTCAATATCCTCTACTTATTTCAAGGAATATTCCCCTACCAATATTCAGTCCACTCCTCTCTTAATAGAAACCCAGGGAATGAAACTCCTTTGCAATGAAAATTTTTTATAGAAAACATAATAAAAATTTGAACATAAAGCTTCTGTTTGTCCCCATGCACCAATGACTTTTAGAATACCTTTAATATTTTTAAACACACTGTTTTTGCTTGTTTGTGACACTTCCCCCATTTCAAGTCCCAAACTCTCAAGCTTTCTTCATTACCTCGCCTTCAACCAAACAGAAAGTGTCCTTTGTAGTTTGCAAACTGCTAGCCTTCCAGATATGGAACATAGATGATTTTGTTTGGTTCAAACATTTTTTATGCAAAATCCCAGATTGCCAGCTTCTTTTCAGAAACAGAAAGACTCTGTAAATGGCCCTCCATGTCAGTAATGTTCAGGACATGAATAGGGACTGCCCCTCTCAGACAGGATTTGAAATCTCTAGCTCTTATCTGCCAATGCTTGATTTTACCAGCCTGGGCCTGGAAGATTTGCATCTGAGACCATTGGTTAACAAGTCATTTATAACTCCAGGTTGGCTAACAGATTCTGCCTCACATGAAATACAACTTTGCACATATCACCAATTTAGTTCTCCTGGCTATAAAAGAACTGTAACAAAAGTGATAGAAAAGTTAGTACAATACAAGTCTTCCAAAAATCACAGGAAGCTTATCAAGTTTATTGTAAAATTAACCGTTGGTACTTTTTAGAATGGCTTGGTGATAGGATTATGCCCTATTTTAATCAGATCCTTGTTGTAGACTTGCAGAACATACACATCAACAACATAGTGCCTGTGGTGAACATGTGATAAATGAATTGTGAACATTGTTTTAATAATTTTACTGAGTAATATGGTCAGTCTTAGGGTCTTTATATGCATATTTTTGAGTTATTACATTATATCCAGAGGCATAATTTTTTAAAAAGTACTTTCCAATCTATAACCATACAAAATTTATAATCACTAATTCTAAATTACCATAACCTTTTAAAAGAATGGAAAAAGAAATTATAATTATTTTCTACAATACTCTACACTGCCAAAGAGATCATTCAAGAATTGTATGGTATTAATAGCACAGCTTTATACCAGCTTTGAATATTTAGATACAACTTACTTTTCTGAGTTTCCTGCTGGCAGTACAATTCTGTCACTCTGCTCGATCACTTGTGTGAGAGAAGGTAACAGTCAATCTGAGGCATTCGCTTTCCTAGTAAAGCACCTGATTGCTGACGAACACCCAAGCTATGCAGAAACACACCAGTAGAGGGACTCCGTACACCTCTAATAGGTAAGTAAAATGGAGCTGACTTTCTGTCAGAAGATGGGTACACAACAATTTAAAGAAAAAAAACTCTGGAGCACTCAAAACATTCTGCCTTTCACTTCCTCCCTATTTCTTATTGGCTCACAGATCCCTTTCCCTTCCATTAACCTCACCTCCTTCCAGGTTTCTTACCGGAGCTCCTCAAGGGTTTGTCGAACTTCTCTCAAGGAATCAGCATCAAGATTATTAATGAGCTCTTTTCGGTAACGTATGATGAAGGGAATTGTGTTATCATCATTAAAAAGACGGATGATGTTGGCACAAACCCAGAGTTCAATATTAGTTCTCTCAGATAAAACCTGTGAATCACAGACATTTAGTAATTTCAAACACTATAAACTAAACATCTATATTTTAATGCAAACTTTAAAAATCTAATAATGTTCTCCAATCCCTTAAAAGTTACTTATGTGGTATTTTAAAAGACCTTTATAAAACACACACGTATAGCAACAAGCCTTTGGTAAAATAGTCATTTCACTAATTCAATAAAACCCAATCTGAACACCTGTATCATTCAAATCCCATGATGCTCACATAGAGAACACTTTTCGATGATGCTGCCTTTTCTGACCACCACAAAATCCAGCCTGTTAGTACTTTTTCTCTCAAACCTGTGGCTTTTCCTGTTTCCTTTTCCAGCTGTCGTCGTCGTCGTCATCATCATCATCATCATCATCAGTATCTACTATCGAGTCTTTGGGGGGATATTGTGGTTACTTCCTCCAATATTGTGGTATTACCCCACTATGTATGTGTGGCTTGACAGCACTTGATCCAACTCCATTTCCACAACATTTGGTTCCAGTAACCACCTGTGCTGGTGTTGTGGGACAGCAGGTTAAGCTGCTATCCACAAAGCCGGCATCCCGTATGACTGCTGGTTTGAGTCCCAGCTGCTACACTTCAGATTCAACTCCCTGGAAATGCACCTGGGAAAGCAGTGAAGATGGCCCAACTGCTGAGACCCTTGCAACTCCAAATGGAGTTCCAGGCTTCTGGTTTTGACCTGGCCAATCCTCAACAAGTCATGACCATTTGGGAAGTAAACCAATGGATGAAAGATTAGTTCCCCTCGTATCTCTCTCTCCCCTTCTCTTTTACTCTGCCTTTCAAATAAATAAAGTAAATCTTACACACACACACACACACACACACACACACAGGCAAAGTGTGACATTGCCCTGGCCAGGGAGATTAGCCCAAGCAACATGAAATTGAAGATTTGGGCTTGAACGGTAGACTCAGGTATGATGACGATACCCTCCTCTGGAGAAATAATTTGTAGAACTAGAAACTGGAAGCTACACCATTTTTTTCTATTAAGAGAACAATGGTGCTAAAAAAACAGTAGACAGACTTTTTCAGTGCACTGACCTTAACTTTCCTGTTACAAGATCAATAAATCTTCATTATTGCTTAAACTAGTTTGAGATGGGTTTTCCCTTGCTGTAACCAAAAGCTTTCTAGTCAACTGCCTCAGCATCACTGTGGGTTTTCTATCACATCCATCTAGTCTGTTACTAAGGAGGCAAACAGAACTTCTAAAATGTCTGTTCTCTCCCTTCAAGTGCCCTTTCCACTAATATCATCTTTTATCTACCCACAAGGCAGAGCGTGTTGCTGTTGTTCATGCCTCCCACCCAACCTCTTTGTATTGCTGGTTACATTTCTAAAACCCAGATGTAACAAAGTCCCTTATTTTCCCCTTTTCTGGTTTTGAACATAAGCTCCAGTAACTCTTATCTACCTAGAAGTAAAAGTCCAATCACTTTACCTTAGCCTTAAAGTCCCTACCAAAGCTTGGTCCTGAATTGTCACTGCCCTCCAGGAGTCAGCAGTCCACAAGGAAGACAAAACATAAATGCAAGTAAGTACAAGTAAAGCAGCACATTGCAGGCACTGAGTATGCTTTCAGAGAAGAGAAAGATCTCAAAGGAGGCTATCTCTGACACCAGGTGGCACTGGCATCCCATATAGGCTCTGGTTCATATCCCAGCTTCTCCACTTCAGATCCATTGCCCTGTTAATGGCCTAGGAAAAGCAGAAGAAGATGGATGAAGGGTTTGGATTACTGCAACCACAAGGGAAACCCAGATAAAGCTCCTGGCTCCTAGCTTCAGCCTGGCGCAGACCTGGCTGTTGTAGTCATCTGGGAAATGAACCAGTGGACGGGAAGATCTCTGTCTCTCTGTGTGTTTCTCCCTCTCTCTTTGTAGCTCGACTTTCAAATAAATAAATCTCTAAAAACAAAAAAAGTTTGAATGCTATCCTATATTCAGCAAGAAGCCATTGGAATATCTGATCTGCTCACTGCTTATTGTTACCTGCAGAGTCAAGCCCATACAAACTGTCACATTCTGAGAATGGGTAAGACCCATGGACTGCAGCTGTGGTTAGGGTATGTGGTTTCCCAAGCCAGCAGCATAAGCATTATCTGAGGACCTGCTTGAAATGCTAATTCTTGGCACCTACCCAAAATTCACTGAATCACAAACATGCAGTAGGCCCCAATAATCTGTATTTTAGAAAAATGAAGCAGACAACAAAGAAATAGAAAGCAAGCCCAAGGGATCGAAGAGAGGTAAAGCCAGGAACTAGTGCAGTTTTCACTTGAAAACTATCACCTTTAATAAATATATATTTATTAAAGTAAATAATATTTAATAAATATATACTTAAATACAAGTTATACAACTGGCAGACAAAAATGAGAGGTTTAAGCAAAACAAAGGCAGCCTGGAGATTTTTCTCACCACTAAGACTTAGGCACTTTTTGCAACTGTTGTTGTTTTTTTTTTTTTTTTTTTTTTTTTTTGACAGGCAGAGTGGACAGTGAGAGAGAGAGACAGAGAGAAAGGTCTTCCTTTGCCGTTGGTTCACCCTCCAATGGCCGCCACGGCTGGCGCGCTGCGGCCGGCGCACCACGCTGATCCGATGGCAGGAGCCAGGAGCCAGGTGCTTTTCCTGGTCTCCCATGGGGTGCAGGGCCCAAGCACCTGGGCCATCCTCCACTGCACTCCCTGGCCACAGCAGAGAGCTGGCCTGGAAGAGGGGCAACCGGGACAGAATCCGGCGCCCCGACCGGGACTAGAACCTGGTGTGCCGGCGCCGCTAGGCGGAGGATTAGCCTAGTGAGCCGCGGCGCCGGCCACAACTGTTGTTTTACAGTAACACCTGTACAGTTTATTATGTTCTAAGGATTTTTACATATTCAATATTAACTCATTTAAATTATATGATAGGTATTATTTATACACACAAAAACTGAGGCCCCCAAAACAAGTAAATTACCCAAAGCCACACAAGCTATATTATTTCTTCAAAAATTCACTTTGTGGAGCAAGTGTTGTGGTGCAGCAGGTTAAGTTACTGTGTGAGATGGCCACGTCCCCATTCTGAGCGCCAGCTTCAAGGCCCTGCTGCTCTGCACTTGCACTTATGATCCAGCTTCCTGCTAAGGCACCTGGGAGACAGCAGTTGATGGCCCAAATACTTGACTTCCTGCCACTCATGGATGGAATTCTGGCTTCTGGCCTCTGCCTGGCCCAACCCAAGCTGTTGTAGGCATTGAGCAGTGAACCAGTGGATGGAAGACTGATAACTCATTCTTTTTCTTTTTCTTTTTCTTTTCCTTTTTCTCTTTCTCTTTCTCTCTCTCTCACTCTCACTATCACTCTGCCTTTCAAATAAATCTTTGAAAAATTCAGTCTGTGTGCAAAGCAAGATGACTTTTCAGGCAAAAATACAAATTAATCAAACAGCCTCACTCCTCCTAAATACTACTGTAGAACAGTAGAGCTTCCCTATAGCTCTCTGGCTGTCAAAACCCCTGACAAAATGCCCTCTCCCAAAGTGTCCTAAAATATACTCCCTTTTCCTCAGGTAACACGAAAACAAACTATAGCCTTAATCTTCATTTTATAAGAACTAACAGCTAAAGTAAATGACTCTCCAGTGAGCTGAACTAAAATGACTTGCTATTAAAAAATCACTCCCAAACCAGCAACTGCACACTTCTCTACTGTAAAGCTATTTGATTCCTGCTGTTCTTTTTATCTAGTCGTTTTATTAGAGTATTTATTTTATCACACCAAAAGTTTCCTTAAAAGATTGCACAAGGAAAATCTAGCCTATGCCATTAGAAATCAGAAGTAATAATAGGAGAGGAAAAGGGGAGTTAGAAAAACATATGATGGGAAATTTAGTGTGGTTAGTTATGTTGATTTTTGATCTGGAAGCTGGTTATATGATTATACTTTTTTTTTTTTTTTGAGAGCAAGCACCCAAGCTCCCACTCAATAGTTCATTTTCCAGATGCATGCAAAAACCAGGTTGGGCCAGGGATGAAGCCCACAGCTAGCAACACAGCTCAGTCTTCCCACATGGGTGGCAGGGACCCAATTACTTAAGCCACCACCACTGCCTTCCATGGTCTGCATTGGCAGGAAGCTGGAGCCAGAGCCAGGAATTGAACTCATGTACTTCAAATGTGGGCCTTGAACATTTCTGAGCTATATATTCAAGTTCAATTTTCTCTATGTATGAGTATGCTAAACTTTATAAAAAAAAAAAAAGTGTTCTTTAAAAAGTTCATACAGAGGTCAGCGCAGTGGCACAGTGGGATAAAGCTCCAGCCTGCAACGTCAGCATCCCATATGAGTGCCAGTTCGAGTCCTGGTTGCTCCTCTTCTGAACCAGCTCTCTGCTATGGCCTAGGAAAGCAGTAGAAGATGGCCCAACTCCTTGAGCCCCTGCACCTGTGTGGGAGAGCCAAAAGAAGCTCCTGGCTGCTGGCTTTGGATCAGCTCAGCTCTGGCCATTGCTTCGTGGAGTGAACCAGCAGAATAGAAGACCTCTCTCTCTCTCTGTCTCTGTCTCTGTCTCTGTCTCTCTGTCTCTACCTCTCTCTGTAACTCTTTCAAATAAATAAAATAAATCTTAAAAAAAAAAAGCTATTACAGTTTCTTTGATTTAAGTAGGACAAACAGGTTAAACCTAAAAAGTGGTACCACATTTAAATGCAGAATTGCAGTGAGATACCCAGTTCAAAGACATATCTTTCCCTAATTTTGTCTCCCATGATCTTTTTCACCCACATACTCCCACATCATCTTTTAAAACAAAGGGGTAAATGGCTGATAAAAAGGTTTTCATTTGCATTTTCTCCCTAATTTAGCAAATGAAACTAAAAAGTATGGTTGCTCCACTCCCCCCACATCCACCACCCTCAAAATAAAGAAACTGTATAATAGCAACCTCAACTTTAGAATAGATTACTTTCCTCAAAAATTACTTG